ATAATTCCACCATGTTCATTTGGTTGGGATGGACGGTGAGACAGATGGTGGCATACAGACTTTCTAGGGCCCCTCAGTCAGTTGGCTATAGCAGAGCTTGGGTGGTTTCACCATCAAGGATTTCCTGGCTGGGGCAGGGGTAGGTGGAAGGGATAGAAATGGTAGATAGGGGTGTGTGAGTCCTAGGATAGGCACCTCTCTTAGGACTTGGGTTCCGGCTTTAAAAGACAGGACAGTGAAGGACAGTTTGTTCATCTGAAATAGAGGTGGTCAAAGGGATCCATTCACAGGCTAAGAGCACTCACTTGTGAATGAAGCTGCTACCTTCTCCCCAACACCCTGTTGCTAGCCAACTTGACAGAACCAGCTTTCTAGGGGTTAGCAAAGCCAGCCAGGAGCAGCAGGCCCTACACACAGTAAGAGCTCCGTGGATATTTGTTAGTTATCGCTATTTTAAAAACTCTTTAGCTTTAGAAAATATAAAAGTAAACTTGGGCATGATACTTTTGAGACTCAGGGTCTGGTTCTTCATAATATCTACCTGATCATTGCAGGAAGATACAGTAAAGAGCTTATCTCTGTACTGCACTTGGCATAATTAAGTGACTGGTTGCCCCTGAGTCAAATTCTCTCTCAGGTTTTCCTTTTAGTGTTGGCCTTCTTTTCCTAATTGTGGATGATGATTGCATGGGGATTGTGTAGGATGAACTGAGCTCCTAGCCTGCTTTACTCCAGCAAAGACTGCAGCAGGTTTTGCAGAATTCTCTCCATGAGCTGCTAGGAGGTCAGCCTTCAGTTGCTTGGTCTTTTATTATAAGAACTGTTGCTGACTGCCAGGCCAGATATGGATCTTGAGAATTGATGGCGTTGTTCTCCATCCCTAGTTGGGCCAGCTTAGTTCAGCTGCTCAGACTAGCTCCCACCATGCCTTGCCTCAGTATATTTGTGTCCCCACTCAGGCTCACAGGATACAGGGCTAAGCCTGGAGCACAGAGCAGACTGCTTTGTCTCCTGGGAAAAGAGCTATGTGGGTAAGGAATAGAGGAGCTCTCAGTGAAAACATAAATCTTGCTGTGGATGTAACTTGGGTATAACTTTTAAGTCTATAAACATATATATAGACTTCTATTTGTATTCTTGATCCTTACCCATAAATTTAGGGGCAGACTTGTCTATCACTACCCTTTTAACCACTTGCCCCTCAGTAAAATCTACTAGATCTGTTGGACTGGCAGGGATATGGTGGCAGCTATAAGCTTAAGGTGATAGAGACAAAGGTGGCACTTCCATTGGGTATCTATCATATCCCTGCCATGGCCTCCCTTCCTACCAGCTCCTGGACTTATCAGACATGTCAACTGCCTAGACAGTTGACTGGACTAGCGTTTACTTTACCATAGACACTACCATGTCATCTAAAATAATCCTGAGATAAAGCCCATGCATCACTACCAGATGCTCACAGGGTATATGCTCTGTCATAGATGTTTTTATTGCTTAGTGTATTTAAGCTATTTTTTTCCTGTGTATAACAAGTCACCCCCCCAAATGAGTGGCTTAGCAAAATCACATTTATTATATTAGTCTTTCTGTATTCAGAATCTGAGCACATCTCAGATCTTACAGGCTCCCATCCAGGTAGTCACCAGGACTACGATCATATCAAGACTTGGCTTCAGAAGGATCCATTTTCCAACTATACTCACATGGTGGTTGAGAGGATTCAGTGGCCCACCTGCTACTAAAGGGGGTCTTGTTTTCTCACTGGCTATTGACTAGAAGACACCCTGAGTTCCTTGCATGTGGTCTTCTACTTAGGGCAGCTGAAAACAGCTTTCTTTACCAGAGCAAGCAAGAAAGTAGACAAGGAAATTGGAATCTCTTGAAGGACTTGTAGTCTTGGAAGTGACGCCTCTGCATTGTGCCACATTCTGTGCCCTAGAAACAAGTTGCTAGGTCCAGTCCCCATCCAAGAGAAGGGGCTCATATGAGACTGAATTCAGGAGGCAGCGGTCATTGGAAGCAGTATGAAAAAGCCCCCCAGGATAGTCTATTCACTCTCCCTTTCAAACTAGAACTTTCTTGGCACCAGGCACTGGACTTCCTCAACCTGTAACCCTAAGCTAGATATCTCAGTTACTCGAACAAGCTTTCCAGTTAAAGGGGGTATTATGAAGTATTAGAAATTCATATTAGTGTTATTGCTACTTTTTATAAATTCCCACTCTTTGAAGGAAATCACACTAATTAATTTTCATTTTTATTTATATAGAAAATCTTCCTGATTGAAAACAAAAATGTTTCTGTGATTCACTCTGTGAAGCCATGACATTTACTGAAGGAATAAAAAACACAACTAGGTACCTGACAACTGAATAAGGAGAGATATCTGTTTAAATAAATAAGGTGATGTAGGTTGATTCACCTAACCAAATTACAGTTATTTCATTAACTCTCCAATCGAATTCCGAATCCTCATTTCATTTGCGGAGGTAAATTTGTTTAACGTGAAGCCTTGACATCCTTTAAAATAATTATGCTTCTAAATGAAAGTTTAATTTTTAATCATTTGCTTTGCTAAAATAGAAGCAAATGAGAGGATAATATGACAATTTAAAGGATTTGCAGTAGATCCCCTAGAGCTGGGAGAGACATGAATTTTTCCTCATGCTGCTGACTAGCAAAGGAATTTTAAATGTGGCCTTAGGACAACCTCCTCACTGTGTTTGCTTCTTTGATGGAAATCAAACCGGAGGGAATTAGAAGCCAACAGAGGTGAGGCAGCTCAGTGCTCCCCTATCAGTCAGCGACCTTAGCGGGGACATGATCTTTTCTCCATGACGTTGTCTCCTGTAGGGACTTTTGAACTCGACTCAGGGCCCTGCAGTACAAGTCCCATAATGAGAAATGGCCAATGCCCAGCGAAACAGAATGAAGCAAGTTTCACCTTAGAGTGGAAGAGGCAGGCAGATGATATTGTGTGCTTACAAATAAAGAAATCTGTACAGAGGAGGGGTAGGGCAACTTGTTCAACTTTGGGTAAAGGGCAGGTCTTCTGTTCGTTTGCATTTTAAATAACTTTGCAGCCATTAACTGTGTCACCTGCCCAAGAAAGGTTAGCAATACAAATTCAGGTAAGAGATGCTTTCAACCAGAATTACCAAACAATAAGTGAAAAACAAAGTCTCACTTTACTTAAACTCTTGAGATGACAAGTCTGATTAAGGAGGCTTTACTCCCTCATTGTTGTAACATGGTTTTACAAATAACCAAATTTTTCTTTCTCTCTCCAGGAATTGTAAATTGTATTGATTCTCTTTACATTCTTATTTCCCTCATTGCTTCAGATGGCAGAAGATATAATTTTCAATACTACATGTGTTAATTTCCTTGAGATATAATGAAATAGGAATAGAAGGGAATTTTGTGATTTTGTTTTGTTGGGCTGCCATGAGGCATTAAATTCAAAGTGAGGGCACATTTTGTAGAGGCTTTGACCTGTAATCTATATTTTGTTTGTTTGATGAACTCTTACCCTTTTAAAATCAGTGGGAGTGCAGTGACATTCACAGGAATCAGGGTGTTTAGGGCTTCATGTATTATTTTAAAAGTTTACTATAATTTTTATTTATTGTACAAACAAATTTACATCCCTGTTAACATAAATCAAAATGAAATGAAATTCATTCTCAATTCTACTGAAATTTATTTTGTTTTTCAAGTTCCCTTCTAAATCTCAGTTATGCACAGAAGTGATTTTTACATAGTCCTAATTGCAGGATAAAGTTCTACATTCTACTTTTAAGCATAAGATGCCATGTAATTACTTTTTTGTACTTTTCAGTATTTCATTTTAACTCTTTACAATTGAAATGGTAATATTTGCACTGTATTTCTTTGAATAGAGATCATAATTTACCTAATCATTTTTCATTTTGAACATTTAGATGAAATGTTATAATAAATATTGCTACAGCATATATTTTTATTGCCTAATTTTTTTTTAAGATTTATTTATTTGTGCATACAGAACTGGGGTGCAGGCCAGAGGCTCAGGGGCGGTGAGAGGCTTCACCAGAGACAGAGTGGGGAGCAGAACAGGCAGACAGACGAAGTACACTGCTGAGGGGAGCAGCAGGCGGGTCGGGAGAGGTCTGCCATGCCATGTGGTCACCTCCGGGGCAGGCGGGAATTGAACTCATGAGGAAGTGGCTTTAGATTCTTAGTGCTGTGCTTTAACCCGCTGCGCCACCAGGGAGGGCCATTTTATTGCCTAATTTTTAAAAGTTCTTTTGTATTAATTCCTTGGTGAAGTCAAAGGATATGAATATCTTAATCCTTTTTGGCACATTGCACATGTGTATACTTAGTCAGTTTTACCGATTAGCAATAGAAGTTCTCACTAAAGTTTTTTTTTTCTTGGATGACTATACAGTGGGTGCATTTAGGAAGTCATTATGTCATTCTTTGTAAATAGTCAAATGGGTGTTATTTCCAAGTCTTTGCCCCTCTTCTTGGGGGAAAGAATGTGATGACACTTTCCTTAGACTTTAATTCAACTTTCTTAAACTAATAATTAGGAAGAAGCCCAAGGAAATATGTTTTAGACATCCAAGCATAATTGAATTCACATGTTCCCTCACTCTCTTCTGTCCATTTTTAGTTGGAGCATTAGAACTTGAGGAGATCACCATGGGAATAAGGGGGTTAGCCTATCACTAAGTTGTCTACCTGATAGCCTGTCATTCCTTGATATCTTTGTTTATGTCTTCATTTAACCTGAGAAGTCCTTTTTCTTATATTAATTTTCAGGGATGCTATAGATGGAATTTGAAAAATGGCTCCCAGTATTCTATTGATCTTGTCCTCAGAACCCTTGATCTGGTATCTGTCCCATGGTTTGGCACTGTTGATTTAAATAGGTGTATCTGGGTGGGCCTGCCTTAATCAATCACATAAGCCTTTTTAAAAGCTTTTTTTTTTTTTTTTTTTTTTAACAGTAGGAGGATGGAAAGTCACAGATTTGAAACATGGAGGGAATTTGACACATCATTGCTGGCCTGAGGATGGAGGAAGAACAAGCCAAGAAACATGGACATCGTGAGGAATTGAGAATAGTGCCTTGGTGACAAGTAGCAAGGAAATGAGGACCTCAGGCCCACAACTGCAAGGAAATGCATTTGATCAACAACCTGAATGAATGTGGAGGCACATTCTTCCCTAGAGCTTCCAGATAGGAAGTTAGCTGGCCAACCCCTTCATTGTGATCTTGTGGAAATATAAAGGGAGAATCCAGCTGAACCCTCCAGGACTTCTAACCTACAGAATTGTGGGATAAATGTAGGTGCTGTTTTAAGCTGCTAAATTGTGGTAATTTGTTATAGCATCAAAAAAAAAAAAAAGAAAAAAAAACTAACAGAAAGAAGGTTGTCAGACATGTAGAAAACACTTTTTTTTTTTTTAAGATTTATTTATTTATTCATACAGAACTGGGGTACAGGTCAGAGATGCGGAGGGTGAGAGGATTCACCAGAGACAGAGCGGGAAGCAGAACAGGCAGATCAATGAAGTACACTGCTGAGGGGAGCAGCGGGCGGGTCAGGAGAGGTCTGCCACGCCGTGTGGTCACCTCCGGGGCAGGCGGGGATCGAACTCATGCGGAAGTGGCTTTAGTTTCTCAGTGCAGTGCTTTAACCCGCTGCACCACCAGGGAGGGCCAGAAATTACTTTTAACCAACTTGCTGGCCTCAATAGATTCCATGTGTAAGAACTGCTGACTGAAGCCCCAGTGGCCTGAATGCTTTATCTGCTGGTGACTCAAATATATCCCTGTCCTCTGCTGTTGCTGCTGCTTGAGTCATCTGCTCCTAGATATGCTGACAACTAGTTGTACTGGTTATTAGAGTTACACATTCTTATGTTTTAAGTATTATGTCAACTGGAGATGCAAGAGAGTGAACATGAGGGAATCCCATCTTACTGTGAAGATCACGTTGAATGCTTTGATGACTGCATGCATGGGCATCTTTAAACAATGCTTGGAATTGGGTGAGTGAGACAACTAAAAGGCCAGGGAGGGTTTGTAAAGATCTAGCAGGTTTTTTCCTTTAGATTGCTCTGCAGGTATCTTACAATTCCTTTGTGGTAAGAATTTTGAAACCAGAAATTATAGACAGTGCTTCAGGAAGATGGTTCAAATAGGAGTCCATACAGAGAGTCACAAATACAACAGAAGCTAAAAAGAAAAAGAAATAGCACTTTCTTAGTATCCATTGGTAAGCAGTTTTCAAATCATATTCTGGCCTCTGTGGTCCAGATCATGTGTTTTAGCGTCTTATATAATCTTAAAGCAAAGACCATATCCAGGCTTGAGCAGAGCCTTTCCAGGCAAAATGAGAACAACTTAATGCCAAACAAAACAAACTTGGCACCAGGGGTTCAGGCACCACCCAGATGTTTCCCAGACCCTGGAAGATTCTATGTATCAGATATTCCCTTCATATTTTCCCCTCTGTTCTGCCTGTAGACTACCTGTGAGCTAAGCCCTCTGTGTATGTGGGGGAGCATTTGTGAAATGTTTCTTGGTTTGTGTCTCCTCCAAGCAGCCAAGGCTATGTCCTGGTTTTGTGAGTGTGATTGCTGAAAATGGAGTGGTCTATTAAAAAGTAATGGTCGCTGCTGTCTGATGGATCTGCTTCTTGCAACATTAGTGTCATGGTGATGGATTAGCAGAATCTCCAAAGTGGAAAAGTGTGTTTCCACAAATATTTTGTATAAACATAAATTCACTTGCCAACGTTGCTCATTTTCCTTTTATTTTTAAATTTATGACCCATGAATATGTGCGATGCATCTCTCAGTGCACATGTGGCCCTCACCTGAAGGCCCTGACAGTGACTCTGGGGGCCCAAGGAACACTGGGGTTGTGCTGTGCCCATGTTTACAGAGCCTCTTCTTGGCTTCTGAGCCACTTGCAGGAAGAGGGAAGAGAAGGAAACAAACACAAGTTTGGGTCGAGCAAGCTCACTGGGCCAAGACAGCCTTGAGAAGGGCTTATTTTCACTAGAATGGCATGTCTGTTTAATGATTTGAAACTACTCTCTCATGGGGGTTCAGGGTGGGTGGGAGAAATGAACACAAAGGACATAGATAATGTGGGCAGTGGCAAGTAGATGAACAATTTCTTACCTTCCTTTCAGTGTTGCTATAAACCTAAACCCTCCAGAAACAATAAAGTTAAAAAAGCCCACTTCTCTGTCTTCATTTCACCATAACTGAAAGATTAAATGACTGCTTCTTATATTACCTCCCAACAGCTAAAAGAACCAAATCAAGAAACGGATGGATGTCCAGTCCACCAAGACTGGACTCAACAGCCTAGAACAGCTGAACTATGATGTATTTCCAGAAATTGGGACCAGAAAACTCTTTCCGTTAAGGTCATTCCATTAAGGACTTTATAAAATGCATTCAGTTTGAGATAAGATTAGTCTGCCTGGTGGGAGAGACATTAGGAATCTTGCCCAATAGGTCAACAAACCAGATGGACTCAGAGTCCTCAGTGGATGGAATGCCACTGGAAGGAGAGGCAGGCCCAGTTAGTGAAGGGCCAAATGGAAGAAAGATACCAGTGACACCTCTTTGCAATGTCTGGAGTCATGGCTGCATTTAGTGCTGGTTCTGTGGATACCCATCTGTCGATTTGGTCTGCCAGGATTCATTCTTCCGTCTGCTGATAGTTGCCCTCCCATTTCCTTGGGGAAGATTGTCCACTACTATTAGCTTGTGTTTTAGATGAAATTGGCTTCCCTTCTGACCCCAGGGATGAGCATGTGACTTAGACATGGCAAGGAAAGCTGCACCCCCTTCCAGGGAACTCTAGGGATGGGTCCATGGCCCAGTCAGCAGATGTTCAATTATTGTAGGTTGGGCAGTTTAAGAATTTTTCTTTCTATACCTAGAGGACTTCCTTGGAGATGCATGATAGAAAAACCTCCTTGGCAACATTCTTTGCACAGTGCTTAATATTTGTCTCTTCTGTTGTTGTTTTTTATATCAGAGAATTTGTGATGCAGTTGAATTAACACACACAGTACTGTAGCAGCCTGGGGGGTTAAAGATAGTTAACCAGCTGGAAGAAGAATTCATTGCATAGCTTAATAATCAGAGAAATGTGAAGGCAGAGTATTTTTTGTGGTTGAGCATTCTAAGGTAAATGAACCTTATAAGAAATGAAACTTGCAAACTGGAGTCCAATGGATTGCTTCAACCAGATCTGGTTAGCTGTAAACATCATTAGCTTAAAGTGTTTTCTGTTACCCTGTTGTCTGTGATAAGATGGGCCTTCTAAAAGGGAAAGTGCTGTTCTTTCACATTTTAACTCCTTTTGGGGGTGTAAAGCTGGCTGAAATCAGTTTCCTGCAAGCTACATTAAGCTTGTGTTCCTCCAGGCCAGGAAGGAAAATTGTGATGTGTCTTCCGGGTTTAGAGGTTCCAAAGGCAAGATTGCTTTCTTCCGAAAACCAGGATTTTAATAGCAAAAAACAAGGAAATCCAGCTCAGTCTACTTATATGCTAGTTTTAGGAAACCTTTAAACTATTCTCCCCCTCTTGCACAACCACCACACAATAGTTGAGGTATTTAAGATCAAAATTATTAAAATTTAGATGTTCAAATATGAATCTGATGTTGTGTTTAGAGATGATTTTTGCAATGAGCTCTCTGTTGGTTTTCTCAAATCATTCTTTAAATTGTCAGAAAAATTTTGTGGAATAGCTCACCAAGTCTCTTTAGTCAGTAAGAGAAAAAAGTGATGGTGATGATGGAAACTGTTCTAGATTTTAAAAAGATTTTAGAAATAAAATAATCTGTTGGATCTTTTGGTTATGTGTTTCTTAATTCAAACAAATAATTGGGGGAAACTTGAGTATGTTTTAAGTATTGAGTGATATGAAGAAATTATAGCTCATTTTACAAGAAAATGGTTTTGTGGTTATATAAGAAGATGACCTTGTTTTTCAGAAATGCATGCTGAAGTATTTAGGGATGGAATGGCATAATGTCTAATTTACTTTTTTAAAGATGGAGCCAGTGTGACAAAATTTACTAAATCTAGTTATAGTTATACAAGAATCACTAAATAATTCTCTATTTTTATATGTGTGCTTGAAATATAATACAAAGGCTCCTTTATTCCCACCCCCAAAAAACAGACAAATAGAGGATTTCTTTTCTTTCTGCAAAGATTTACCTTATTTATGCATACAAGAGCTGGGGTATAGGCCAGAGGTGCAGAAGCAGGGGGTAAAGTGGGGGGAGGGGTAGTGAGAGGATTCACCAGGGACAGTGAGGAGCAGAACAGGCAGATTGAATGAAATACACTGTTGAGGGGAGCAGCAGGTGAGACAGGAGAGGTCTGCTGCACCATGTGGGTCAGCTCCCTGGCCCGGGATAGAACTCATGCTGCAGGGCTGAGCTTCATAGTGCTGAGACTTAATTGACAATAACTTCATAATGCTGAGACTTAACACCTTGTGCCACCAGGGAGGCCCTGGATTCCTTTTCTATATTTGTTTTAAGACACCAATATGGGCACCATCTCTGATGGAAAATGTAGGAGAAAACTACAAATATAAGAGGTAGATTTAAATGAGCTTTAAAATTTTTTTCTGCTGTTGGAATATAAAATTATACAGTTTATAAGTAAAAGTTCGTGAAGCTCTCTTAATTCATCCATGTTCTGTGGGTGGGGAATAAATGACTAATAAAAGCATTGCCTGTTGAAGGAATAAAATTTCAACTCCTAAATTGAACTTCATGAGAATTATTTAAAGTACTTGTAAGTATAATAGGTTCCCCAGAAATGGTTTTCATTTGCATGCAGCATTTCCTATAAATGAGGAGAAAGTGATATATGATCATTGTAGAAAACACAAATAACCCATAAAATAAGCCCCACATAATGTCACTCCCGATTATTAATATGTTTGTATATTTTTGTCCAGTACATTTCCTGAGTATAGGTATATATTTCCTTTTTCTCCTTCCTCCCTCTCTTTTTTCCAGACAGCCACTCGCTATGCAAATGAAACCACACCACACTTGAGAAGAAAGCACTTTGCTCCCAGAGTAAACTCTCTTTACTTTAGTAACTCATGGCATTTTTTTTTTAAGATTTTATTTATTTATTCATACAGAACTGAGGTACAGACCAGAGATGCGGAGGGTGAGAGGGTTCACCAGAGACAGAGTGGGGAGCAGAACAGGCAGATCAAAGAAGTACACTGCTGAGGGGAGCAGCGGGCGGGTCAGGAGAGGTCTGCCGCACCATGTGGTCATCTCTGGGGCAAGCGGGGATCGAACTCATGCGGAAGTGGCTTTAGCTTCTCAGTGCTGTACTTT